TGAGTGTAGATCTCGGTCCAGTACACTCTCTTGAGGCTGAAGACAAAGCTTGAATATCTTTAACTGTGGTAGGTGACTCGAGTCTGTCATTGTTGGAAGTTTATACTGAAGAGCTGCAGACGCATGCCGTATTTCTGCCTGACGACAGCTGAACCATGAACACTGGCCTACAGGCCTGAAAAATAAACAGCGAGCCTGACGGCCTCATGTGTCTCTGAAGAGAACAGGACCGCAGGGAGAAACACCACTCAACTCTCTAAAAAAAGTGTTCTGAGTGATTTTAACAAGTTGCTATGCAGTTGCTAAGGTGTTCTGAGTGATTCTTAAAGCTTTTTTAGGATTGTTATGCAGTTGCTTGTGCACTGCTACAGTGTTCAGGGTAGTTACTAGTTGGTTTTTAGATCAGGCTCTGCTTTATAGTCTGCAAAAAGTCAGAAGTAATGCCAAGTGATCGCTTAAAAGTAACATCACACCTCTTTTGAACAACACACAATTTGAGAACATGCTGGAGTTTAATACTTGTGGTTAGCGGTTTGTTTAAACCCCAACCCTAAATATGAGCAATAGTAATAATGAATTGAGGTTTACTTTTTAGAACAATCCTTTGTTAATAGCATTTTAATGACAGATTGGCTTTTCCTGGAGGTCAATCACCAAAGTGTTTTCCTTGCTGGTTATGGTGCATTGAGTTCCTTTTGACCAAAAGTCCTCATTAATAAAGGCATAAACTAAAAAAAGGACTTATTTCAATGTAGGAAACCGAAGAACACAAGTTTCACCTGTTCACTGGTCATCTTGCTAAAGCAGCACAATCATTTCTGACAGTCCCAAGGACCCTCTGGCTGGGGTTTTCTCCCGGGCCCACAGCAGGAGAACACTCGGACAAAAGAGCCCCGCAGGGCACACGGCCTGTTCACTCAGACCTAATCCAAATGTTCGCTCAGGCAGGTGCCCATGTTTTCAAGGGCCTCCAAATCCTGATCTTAAATGGCCCGGTCGACTGTTACTCAATAGGCGTTTGAGCGCTCCTGCAGTATGTGTGTGTGAGCCTGCGGTGCAGCGGTTTCAAGCTCTGCCAGAATAAAAATCAAAACTGATGTGCTGATACAGGCTTTTAATATGTTATTCAATGTTTTCGCTGCGTCCCACCGGGTCAGCTTTCCAGAGCGTGGTGTGACACGTTAAACACGTCCAGGCCGTTTTGTGAACTCATCAGAAACATTCACTTGGCGTGTTTACCGCAGCTCTGAAATGCAATTCAAAACAGTCATTAAAATGTCTCAGTGTTTACTTAATGGTGACATGTGTAATTTTTGTCACCAAACAGAATTGGAAAAATAATGACTATGTTGCAAGTACTGTATCCCCCAAACCGCATGCATTATAAAATGGTCACAATTTACACTTTTAACAGAAATGTAACTGTTTATTACACTTCACTACAAAATTAATATTCATTTGTGAACTATGATACAAACAACATATACACAAAATGTACAGCAAAAAGTACGGATATGGTAAAAATCGTTTACAGTGTAAATGGTCGTCTCTTTTACGAAGTAAATGGAAACGCAAATATATTTCATTGACATTTAAGAAGTTGATTTTACTTCAAATAAATAGCAAACTATTTTGTGTCATGGTGCACAGCTGATAATACTGATAATCTGTATATTGAAGTCTGATTCTACTGACATTCATCTAGACACTGGTACAGTACCACAGTATCCATAAAGTGTGACTAGTTATACACGCTGAAGATTTTCTACATGTTGTGCTTGACCAGTGGATCAACTTTAACAGATTGGACCTGTTATTGCTTCATCTAACACAGTTTTTAATGTCATAACCTTATCAAAATAAACATTTTCAAATTGCTTCATGGATCTCAGTTTGCAGTAGAAAACGCTCTCAACAGCCCTCTAAAAAGTGTCTTGGAAAGTTTTTCAGTCATGTTTTCTCAGATGAAATATCAGTTGAACTTTTTCATTATTAATATTAATTTGAAACCTACACATATACAGTTGATCAAGGTACATTTCTTGATTTATACAATAAATTGAATTAAAAGACACTTGTGCAATCTAATCTTGTTTCTTTGAACATATATTTAGCTAACTGAGAGGTTTTTGATGCGTACAGGTAAATGATGTGCTGTATTACAGTCTCATTTATCAAAGTGCAGAGGTGCGTGTGTAATGTTTCTCCAATTTTTGGCAATTCTAATGCTCATCTGTAAAATTCTATTGCTTACTAACAGCTTTAGAGAATTACATTAAAATATATTTATATATCATATGTATATATATATATATATATATATATAATATATATGATGACATAAAATCTATGATAGCTTGTTTCTGCCACAGCATAAATAAATAAAAAAGGTAACTGTGACTTTTTTCTCACAATTCTGAGAACTGCGAGACATAAACTCAGAATTCTGACTTACTTTCTCGCTATTCCGAGTTTACATCTCGCAATTCTGTCTTTTTATCTGAATTCTAAATTTACATCTCGCAACTCCGTTTTTTCTTTTTGCACTACATAAAAAAGAAAATCACAACTTTCTCACAATTCTGGCTTTTTTCTTGCAATTGCAAGTTTATTTCTAACATTCTGACTTTCCTTCTCAGAATTTCATCAAAAAAGTCCAAACTGTGAGATAAAAAGTGGTAATTAACTTTGTATTATTTAATCTCAGAAATAAAGAAATAAATTGAAAATGGTTTTCAATGCACACATATACATATATAAATAAATATATATTCACATATGTGATATATTGCCAATGTTCTCTTATGAGACAAAAACACTTGTCAGTCTGGATGGAAAAAAGCAAAATAAAAATAAAATAAACCAGTCAATCTGTTTTCCTAAGAGAACATGGAGATCAATTGAAGTCCTATTTAAAAAAAATAAAGGACACATCAGTATGGTGACCACACACATTTATCTTACAAGCAAGTGATGAGTGCAAATCTACTGCAGACGTATGAGTGTGTTTGAGAATCCCAATGGACCAGCGCAAACAGATCCTGGGTCTTACAGAAGGCACCTTACATGAAGGGGGTTTGAGGAGAGTGACTCCTGACTGTACCTGCACCTTCTGAACTCTCTCCAGTGCTGCTCAAAGACATCAGGTCTATTAGACAGGAGCTCTCCCTGCTGCTCAGTGCTTCAGGTTTCTTTTGGGATGTGCTGGTATTCACGTTTGTGAGGAGAAGCTAATGCTGGATACCATCTTCTGGATCTTCTCCTCGTTCTTCAGGATACTGGACTTGACTGCGCAGATCTTGTCCTGCTGGTCTTTGATTAACTGCTCTAGTTCAGCGAGCTCAGCCTTCAGAGGTTCCACAACGCTGTCTGTAATTCTGAGATATAGACAGAGAAACGGCTTAACACAGAAGAACAAGACATTCAAAAAGCAGCTGGAGATTTTAATCATGATAAATATTAGGATGCACTGATATAGAGTTATTATGACTAATCCCCAATTATTTTTATAGCCAATATAATTGACAATTTTATAAAAAAAATAATAATAACAACAAAAAAAAATTCAAATAAATTAATACATACCAAATTTTCCAGAATATAAGTCATGCTTTTTACATTTAAGACATGCAGTGATTTACATTCCATACAACTCTATGCTCTATTTAAATCAATTTTGAATCAATCGGACCATTATTTGTATGACTTCTGAGTTCCAAATCAATCATTTAAGAGGTTTCAGTTCAGTTAAGATGCTGTCTATGTAGGCAGTATCCAGCAAGGCAGCTTACTAGGCTTAGGGACAGAGCTAATATGCATGTGCACCTTTGTTCCTGTAGCAGAGCCTGTGCATTCTCCTTGTTCTCTTTGCGCCACGTCTGCAGTTCATTCTGCATGGAGTCCATATCCTCCTGAATGTAGTCCATGATCTTACCCAGAGGCAGAGCACTGCGACACACCGTTTGTATGGACGAACGCAGGCGCTCGATCTCCTTCGCCACCAATTCACGTTCCTTCTTACGAGACACCTCCGACACCAGTGACCGATCCTGCAGACAAGACAGAACCACAGGAAACAGATCAACACTAGCAGTCTCAAAACAATGTCACTCTTCCTGACTGCTATTTCTTCTGTCAGAGGTCTGTCAGTCACTTATGAATGGAAAAGGTGTGACAGGATTTTCAACATGAAGCTATGATTGTCAAAAAAAAAAAATGGTACAAAAGTCCAAGTGCAAAGCCACGTAAACAAATGCTAATTGTTGTCTACACAAAAAAAGTACCTTATTTATCCCTAAAGGGTGCATATTAATACCTAAAGTGTACATATTAGTTCCTTTTGAAAGAGCACCGCCCCAGTGACAGCTTTTGTACCTTTTTTTTTTCCAGTGTGTGTAGACAACAATTAGCATATGTTTAAGTGGCTTTGCATCATATACTTGCCCTCATGTCATTTCAAACCTGTATGACCTTCTTTCCTCTGTAGTACAAAAAAGAAGATATTTAAAAAATATGGGTTTGTCCATACAATGAAAGTCAATGGGGTCCAATGTTGTTGTTTTGGACCCCATTGACTTTCATTATTTACAGAAAAACAGTTGAAACGTTCCTCAAAATATCATTTTTTTTTTTTTTACGTGTCACAAGTCAAATACAAATGACCGTGTAAATGACTGAAAAATGCTGAAAAATGACTAGTGGGAAGTCACTCCCATAAGGGAGCACTTCAGATAAATGCTATAAATGTTATAAAGGTTAGAGGAAATCTATACCTACCAACAATATACTTTTGGGGGAAAAAAGCAGCAGGGAGAAGTCTGCATTTAGTGGTTTTCAATGTCAAGGCTACAAATGTTTAGAATTTCAAGGCAGGAATTATACAAACCTTGCAATGTATATAAAGATCAAAATGAAAGAGACATGGGATCCATAACGTGAGTGAGTGGTTACTGAAGGCCTCCTCTGTATGCGGTGTGGTTGGGGGGTCCTGGTCTGCCCCAGTCACCCTTCAGCCGAGCGTAAGAAGGCCCCCCCGGCACACAGGGCCCGTGTCTATTTACTCCGCTGGGGCCACAGGCTGTGTGTGGCACTAGGCCAAACAGGCTTTACTCTTACTGCCTCTGTCCCACTCAGACACACGCACATACACACCCCCACATGACTTTGTTTATTTTAGTAACAGGCTATGGCAGTGAAGTTATTGGGCCCGTGTCTATTTACTCAGCTGGGGCCACAGGCTGTGTGTGGCACTAGGCCAAACAGGCTTTACTCTTACTGCCGCTGTCCCACTCAGACACACGCACATACACACCCCCACATGACTTTGTTTATTTTAGTAACAGGCTATGGCAGTGAAGTTATTTTACAACAGTATTCGGTAACAACTACTTCACATTTACCTAATTTCAAGCTGAACTCCTCAAGTTATATAGTCATTCTGACTATAAACACCAACATCTTCCTTTCTAAAGCCACGTTCACACCGCCAGCCAGTGACGTTGTAGCTGTATGTCACTAGACTCTGTACTGTGAAGCAGGGGCGATTCCAGGATTTTCATTTTAGTAGGCTCAGCTCCCAATGAGGGTATAATATATATATATACAGTATATGTATGTATATATATTAAAATGAAAATGGCAACATCGTTTTATAAAGTATATGCATTCATATGTGCTTCATTTTCACTGGAGGAAACCTGTGGTATGATGAGGGGTGAACGCAGCGAAAACTTAGGCTACAGTAGATGGGGAACCGATTGCTCCCCCATGATATTTTGTAAACTATTTATGACAAAGAACTGCACAGATGCAGATATTATAACAATCTATCAATAAACACACACCTTGTCCTCTGTTTCTCGCTTTGTGCCGCTGCAGTCTGCGAATTGAAAAAGAACGAGCTGAAAGACGGGGAGGAGCCGAACGAAGTCTGCCGCCGTTTTCATATGAAATTAAAAGGGGACTAAGGCGATCACGAATTCGTGTACAATTTATGGAACTAATCGCAACATTTTAGGGGGGCTATAGCCCCCTAAAAATGGCCTAGTGACGCCCATGCTGTGCAGACACTTGTGGGCGTTCCTAGTGCTGTCTGGAGATATCTTGGGGCAGTCGTGGCCTAATGGTTAGAGAGTCAGACTTGTAACCCGAAGGTTGTGGGTTCGAGTCTCAGGTCTGGCAGGAATTGTCGGTGGGGGGAGTGAATGTACAGCGCTCTCTTCCACCTTCAATACTAAGACTGAGGTGAGACCCTTAAACAAGGCACCGAACCCACTGCTCCAGGTGTGTGTTCACGATGTGTGTGTGTTCACTACTGTGTATGTGCACTTGGATGGGTTAAATGCAGAGCACAAATTCCGAGTATGGGTCACCATACTTGGCCACATGTCACTTCATGTGCTTTATCGCTGCACTTTCTCTAGAAAATGCAATCACAACTATTTATATTGCTGGTAAAACAAAGATATCATTCTTAGACTAGGTAGCATTCTGCTGTTAGAGAGTGTTGTTATATAAACTACAGCAGAGCTCAGTGCATTAAATCATTAACCAATTCTAAACTGCTCACTGCATCATATAATTAACAACATGAACGATTAATGTATGAATCAAACTCACAAAGACTGCAGACAATTTATTTTCCACTAATCATTTTTTATATCCATGTATGTGGTTACAGTCAAATCATATAAAACAGTGAAATCTCATAATCGTTAATTTGCATAAAGTTAAGTTAATCTTAACTTTTGTCGTGTGACTCGCGTCGCTTCACACGACCTACATTCTGTCACCAACGGTCACTGTCGCTCGTGTCGCCAGAAGTCGCCATGATGCTTTATCGCTGCGTGTCTCTGGCAGTGTGAACGGGGCATAAATGGATAGTTCACCCAAAAATTATTTCAAACGTGCTTTCACATGGAGCAGCATTTACTACACAAAGCCATTGTTCAATGACAAGCTGCGCAAAACCACATTCATATATGATCGTGGTTTTGCGCAGCTTGTCAGTTAACAACGGCTCCGTGTAGTAAATGCTGCTCCATGTGAAAGCACGCACGTGGAGATTTACTGCTGATTACAGAACCGACTTTACTGACAAGATGCGCATTAGCCCTATTTGCAAGTTTGATTCATTTCATGTGATTCAAATTCTCTTCTTCCATGGATCAATTTATAACTCGATTCTCAATCAATTCAAAATCTATATATTTTCACACACTATAAATACACACACACAGACCAAATATATATATAAGAAAAATATAAATAGGTAAATATTGCCATTTATTTCCATGCATAGTTACATTGGTGTGTAAAAATTATTGTACTTAAAATGTTTGGAAGGTGGACTATATATATGTGTGTGTGTGTGTGTAATATTAATATTAGTTTATCTATAAAATATTACTTTATTTATAAAAAAAACTTGCACACGTAGTCTTACATAGATATACAGTTGGTCAAACATTATTAAGATTTGAAATCTGAAAATATTTTCATAAAGTGGCGGTCTCTAATCATCTGTGTGTTTAAACTGAACGTTTATTGTTACAAATTTACAGAGTTTGGTAACTCTATTACAAACACTTCAAAGGTTAACTATGCCGCTTCACTCTAGAACTCAAACAAACACGTGAGAAGAAAGACTAACTTAAATTTTTCCCCCTCTCTCTGTGGTTTACAAGTGTGTTCGGATTGAAATGTCTAATAGTTGTCTGCAATGTGGGTGGTTTCTCCGGCCCCTAAACACCCCCTCTACACAAACACCAGCCAGCACATTCGGCCCACTGTTCTTGGAGCGCAAAGGCCAGGCCGCATTCGCTCTGTTTGCCGTCCTCCTGCACCTCACCCCTTAGTCAAAAAGAAAAGAAAAACTCCAGCTTTCTGTCTCAGAGGACATAAATCAATCGTTTATAGGGGCTCTCATTTTCCCCTCTCTTCACTGGACCCAAGAAAAATATTTGTTTTGCACGAGGCAGCTGAGGACAGGTTTTCCCATTATCTCAGACAGTGACACAAGCAGGACGTGGAGTCGGTGTGCCTGGGGCAGGTGGCTTTCAGAGACGCTGATGCATTGGGCCGGAGCCTCTTGGACCAGGACGCCTCATTACCCCGCTATGTGGATCTGAGCCTTCAGCTGCAAGCCCAATTTGCTTAATGAAGAAATGCATGCAAAATGCATGATTTATAGAGTGCTAATAAAGAACTACGAAAAGAAGCAGAGCAGCACTGTTCAAATGAGAGTTTTGCAGTCCTTCTGAGAATGATAAACATGCTGTAGTGCCACATCATGGTTCTGTGGATCTGAAACGTTGAGTTCAAACGTGATTCACGAGATAAAATGGGCTTAAATGACTACAGTTAGGACAAGTGTGACAACTTTAAAAATGAAGGGAGTAATTTATTTGCCACTAGCAACACCAAACAGAATTGGAAAATTACTGTCTGTATAGACAGGTAGTTCCGTTCCCAAACTCGCTGCTTAAAACAGACTGCAGTTTAGTTTGGTACTTCTAGTGGGACAGAAATCAACATGTAAACAAAGAAGCTTTATCTTTCTAGCGGAGTGTGATAGGGGTTTTCTTTAGCTCTGAATGATGGTACAAGCAGACTACATGTAAACATGATAGCAGAGGATTAGATTCACACAACCAGTCAGAAATTAAGTAATGTTTCCCAAGCCTTAGTACTTGCTTCACTTCAATAAGGACATCACTGAAAAGAGCGATAACTTGCAGTTTAGTAAGGGAGTCATACGTTGATTCAGTAATGAATCCAGTGAGTTATTTGTCAGACTGATTCAAACAGTAACGTGAGTGAAACCGATTCATTAAAAGAAGCTGCTCAAATGAACCATTTGTTCATCAATCGAACTACACTGGCGTTGCATTTGTTTTTGCATGCATTCAAATCAGACTGCAAAATTACATTCACAAATCTGGTAAATATGATTTTTTATGCTGGAGAGTCATAGAAACTGGCAAACACTGAGATTAACTGCAACAGAAACAATACTTGAAAATAAAATTTTTATCAGTTTATTGTTTAAACTTGTATATCGCTCGCCCCTAGTTTGCATTCATTAACCTTTTTTGATTAGTCTTCAGTTGGGAAGGGAATGTCTACCTGATCACTTAAAAGTAACAACAATTATCATAAAAAAAGTGTTACTTTTTGATTGGTTACAATAGCATATTGGGTTGTAACACTGATTGGCTAAAGCCAGTGCATTGGCTGGACACTTTCAAAATATTTCACTTATGATTTAAAACTATTTTAACTTGACGTAAAAAAATGCTGTTGCATTTATCGGTTGAAGACACAAAAAGCAGTAAAAATTTGTGGCTTCAATGGTCTATTTTAGACAGCTTGCTACTGGTCTAAAACTCCATGGTGGGTCTTTGGGTCCAGTACTGACTCAAGGGTAAAGATTCATTGTTTAGCAACGTTTAGGGGTTTCCTCCTTGGGGAAAACATGGGCCTCATCCAGCAACATCATAAAAATAGCTGGGATGAAGTGAAGTGCAGAGAGGCTGAGTCGTGTACACAGGATGGAAGGGTCAGTTTGGCCCCGTGGGGGTCACTGCTGAGATCACCGTCCTGTACTTGCGTGCTAAGCGGATCACCACAGAACCACAATGTATGACAGTTCGGCTTATGAGAACCAGACAGCAGTAGGACTGAAATGAACGCAACCAATTACGCTATCAGACTTCAGAGACCTGTACCGTGGTATTTCCCCGTAACCTCCAGGGTCATTCCACAGAGATGTCAATCGTCTCTGGGTGAGGGCAAAATGTTGAGGAATGCAACGAGAGTCATTTCCTTTACATTTCCAACAAAAAGGTAGATGTTTACAAAGACACAGGCCTGAAGGGATGACTATTTATTTTCCTGCCTGTTCTGCAGAGTGCGAGCTGGCGTGGCGTTCACTCAACAGTCATCCATTTGTGTGCCATGGGGTTTATTTATACATTGCAAACCATCATCAGGCTAATTTGATGGCGCAAAAGAGGGAAAAGGAAGGAGGAAAAAATGCTTATGAAAGCGCAGCTGCTGTCAGGGGCCAATACTCTCAAAAAAAAAAAAAGACGCCCTACAAGAAGTATCTTAGAATAATATACACGTGATCTGGAAGTTCACAACAAAGGTCAGCTGCAAAATGTACGGCAAATTCTTCAGAAAAATGCACTGTGATGGTGAAACGGTCCTTCGTAATATTGCATCTGGCCGGTTCTTTCAGTCAAATGAAACAATAACGGCCTAGCAGATCTTAATAAATGAAGTTCTGTCGACCCTAGCAAGGTAAATCTTCACTTATGAAGTGGAACGGAAAGCTCAAGCTAATAAAGCCACAGAATGACTCATTGGCTCAGTTTCACCTTTGGAATTATTAAATGGTCAAAACTCTAAATTCTGTGGTCGTTCCAAAGAGATTAAGTCATACGTACTTGATGTGGGGATCTCCGTAAACTCAAAATCCTTTTTGAGATTTGAGAGCGAAAGCTCATATATGTAGAATGAGTTATGAGCGCTGTAACTTCAAACCTGTCGGGGAGGACATGGAAGCTCAATATTTAAATTTTTAACCCTGGATGTTACACCGTGATTACAGGAGAGCAGCCACTTTATTGCGCTGACCTTCACCCCCCTTTCAAGTCGGGAAGGAAGTCATTACAGATTTTTTTTTTCAATACATCTGACTAGACAGGAGAGGTGCGGTGTGCCCGTTAACATGTACTGCCCCGAAAACACACGCCCATTTCATGCACCGCAATTAAGATGGAGAATTTAGAGAGCTGATGAGGCTAAATTAAGTCAATTAGGAGAGCGCGGCCAGCAGTGCTCAGATTCCAGCCCAGAGTTGGCTTGCGTTTGATGGGGGAAATCTAATTTGATTATTTGGGATTGAAAGGAAATCCAGTCTGATTGTTTTGAAATCAAGAACACAGGAGGGAGAAGCGCTGGCTGTAAGGGCCAGCTGGGAGCAGCTCACTGTGTGCAGCTGAGGTTGAGCACACGTGCCAGTGGCGAAGCACGCAGAGCTCATGCCTTCAATGAAAAAATATTGTAACTGAATGAACTAAATTAAACTTTTGTGAACATTTACTCACCCTTATGTCATTCCAAATCGGTATAATTTTCTTTCTTCCATGCAACACATGAGGAGAAAAGCTGATGAACTGATTAACCACTCTTTTCCATATAAAGAAATGTAATGGGGACTCAATCACGCTCCAAAAATGTGCCACTTCAGTTTTGCCATCAAACCTACTTGACATTGCTCATTTACTTTCATTTTATGACAAATTGACAAATGTATAAGACCTTCTAAATCTTATATTTAAGCTTTTGAATTAATATGAGGTAAAGGAAACTTCATATACTGTACACTACTGTTAGAAAGTTGACCTTTTCTATATTAATAATAACCTTTTGTTATTAATATTATTAGTACTATTATAGTTCTTTTGAAATCTGAAATTTCATTTAAAGGGGTCATATGATGCGATTTCATTTTTTCCTTTCTCTTTAGAGTGTTACAAGCTCTTGGTGTATAAAGAAGATCTGTAAAGTTTCAAAGACTAAAGTCTCAAATCCAAAGAGATATTCTTTATAAAAGTTAAGAGTTAGCCACACCTACCTAAAACGGCTCGTTCGAACACGCCCCCACATACCTACCTCACTATGTGGGAAGATTTGCATAAAGCCCCCAAATGTTCACGCAAAGAAAGAAGGCGTAACTTTTATTCTCACTGTACAAGACAGTTTCTCGCTGAGAAAAGTATGAAATAAAATTGTTCTTACTGCTTCAGAATTACAAAAAAAAAATCATTCAACGAATCATTAACGAACCAGAATTGTTATATGAAATTGGCAACAGAGTCAATATTCCTTACAATTCCCATCTTTATTTCTCCCCACTGCTGACTCACTCTTTGAGCATGTGACTAAGGAGGGAAGTCGAGGTGAAAGGGTGGGGGGTGGGGTGGGGGGGGTTGCTCATTTACTTTCATTTTATGACAAATTGACAAATGTATAAGACCTTCTAAATCTTATATTTAAGCTTTTGAATTAATATGAGGTAAAGGAAACTTCATATACTGTACACTACTGTTAGAAAGTTGACCTTTTCTATATTAATAATAACTTTCATTACACCAAATAAATAGTACTATTATAGTTCTTTTGAAATCTGAAATTTCATTTAAGTAGTACAAGACAGTTTCTCGCTGAGAAAAGTATGAAATAAAATTGTTCTTACTGCTTCAGAATTACTAAAAAAAAATCATTCAACGAATCATTAACGAACCAGAATTGTTATATGAAATTGGCAACAGAGTCAATATTCCTTACAATTCCCATCTTTATTTCTCCCCACTGCTGACTCACTCTTTGAGCATGTGACTAAGGAGGGAAGTCGAGGTGAAAGGGTGGGGGGTGGGGTGGGGGTGGTTCTGCATGAAGGCCACCATCAAACACTGCATCCATCAGGCCTACAGCCAATGACGGACAGATAGACCGGAGCATTCGTTCCGGCTAGAGTGGACCACCCAGTGCAGATGGCCCCTTCCACCAGGGCATGGACAGGATGCCTTCAAAACTCGAATCACATCGTTCTCATATTCACTGGCTCACAAACAGCCCAATTCAAGCTAAAAATATGGAAAGACATTGATAAAGTGTCACTTATTAACAATCATGTTCCAGCAGTCCTGAAAAATCATTCCACAAATTTTATGGACAGAGAAGAAAAGTATATTGCCTGAGCCACACTGAAACTGTGCCCAAAGAGTGAAATTGGTTTTATTGCTTTTTGGAAATGAAATACTATCTTAATATTAATCTATATTCCATTGATGAATCTTTATACTCTCATGGGCCAAAGGACACTTCAGATAAAATCCCCCAAAAATATTAGTCTTAAAACAAATTCACAAGCAAGCTCCAACTCCAAGCCACCAGCACATGCTGGTTTTCAATTTGCAATTCAGTAACCAAAACCAACAAAATTCACAAATAAACAGGCCACAATAGTTAACCATGTTAAATGTCTAAACAGCATGCTTGTTTTGCCCTAATTATGTAAGCTCCGTTGAAGAAAATAACACTTCAGTGGCTCTGAGGGACCGCAATTACATATCTCCACTCCATTTGCAAAGTTACTTTCTTTAGTAAACTGACGGTGCACTGGGTCAGGCGTCCCTGAGGTATTGTAGAGCACAAAAAAATGCTGATTCCCTTGATGAAGAGATTTTGAAATGCCTTTACTCATGTTACTGGAATTTTGTTGTGAAAAACAAAACTTGGACCTTGTTAGATGGAATCGCACTGCCACCTAGTGGTATTAATGGGAACAAAAGATAGAATCATACCTGTTCTTTAGACTTTGTGGATGGAGATGATTCGTAGACTTTCTTTGTCTCTAGGATTTTTTTCACAAGTCCACCTATGAACAAATGAAAACCATTCAGTTATTTCTGATCTTAGGCCCAATCCCAATTCTACCCCTTAGCCCTTCCCCTTTCCCCTACCCCTTCGTTTCGCGCATTCACGCGACGGGGTAGGGGTGTCTCAATTCTATTTTGGTTGGAGGGGTAGGGGAAGGGCCAGACAGCCCTTCAAACGAAGGGGGTAAGGGGTATAAAATAGAATTGGGATTGGGCCTAAGTGTGCCATTAAAGGGTTAATTCACATAATTCATTTATGGCAGAATTTTATTTCAGGATGAATTCTTTTTGCACATGGCTCACCGTGTTTGTCATCCTCTTGCAGTTCAAGTGAATTACGCTGTAACGAAACAAGTCAATTAGTCCAAATCATGATGTTTTTTTACTAGATACTACATACGCATATAGAGCATCTACACTACCTCAATTTCAGGTATGTCAGGAGGAGGCGCAGCTGCCTCCTCCACCACAAACTGCCCATCTTCATCATCCTCATCTTCAGAGAGCTTCTTGCCATCCAAAATGACAGTCGCAGGAGTCTTGCCACTGCCCAGCCTTAGAAAAAACCCAGTCATGTTTAAATACAGCATTTTTTTTTTTTTACTTTTTACTGATCAATGACATCTTTTATCATAAGTTCCGATTCAAAAGTTTGGAGTCAGTACAACTTTTATAAAAAATAAATCAATATTTTTATTTAGCAAGGACGCAGCAAAGTGACAGTAAAGGCATTTAAAATATTACAAAATATTCCTATTTCAAATAAATGCTGTTCTTTTGAACTTTCTCAGTTCATGAAACCCCCTACCTAAAGTAAAATCACTGTAACACAGCCAGCTTGTGGCTTACTTCTTTAATATAAAGTGAGAAACTGAGAGCCTGATGAGCGTGATCTCTCACCTCTCTGCTGGGGTCACATCAGCGTAGCTCTCCTGTCGTTTGACACGGGGGGCTGCCGGTCGTGCGCTGCTAGGTCGCGGTAATAGTCTACTTGCATAAAAGAAGAACAAACAAAAGAAGAATAAGTTCACACAGGAAATCCACAAGCACTTTTTGTAAAGTATGCATGCGACTTTATGCGTGGGGAGTTTAAGTAACAGAAAGTTACTATATGGCTAAATGCTTACAAAAACAGTCCTGAGAACCAAGAGTAATGATCTGGATGAGAGTGATATCTTGTGGTTAGATCTTGCGGTACAGTGCAGTGAAAGCAAGGGATTTGCATCAGTGGCTTCCACTGCCAGGCAATCTCTCATGGGGGCATGTATGATACACTCCATCCAGCCACAAACACCTCAGCACATTATCACACTGGCTTACTTTGTTATCATCGGACGGAAATATAGTCATTTTTTTATCTTTAAATCAACACACTTATGGGAAAATTACCACTAATTAAGAAAGCAAAAAAGAAAGAAAGAACAAACCTATGTGTTGTTTGAGGTGGCACAGAATTTGTTGTGTCTCCATTCTCAATAGGCACTGGTTTCTCTGCTGAAGGGGCTTCCCCTTCTGAATGAAAACAAAAATTAGAATAGATGTTTACAGAAAAGGTATACATTTTTTGAATCAAGGAAATTCTGAATTGGCAATTGGTATTTAGTTTTTTTTTTTTCTTTCTGCCAACAGCACAGGTGTTACTGTAATGTCAGCCACTACATCTTTAGCCATTATTTGAAAGACAACTGAGACCAACACAGTAACAGGCAGGGCAAATTAAATTAACACTCGGCAAGCACCAAATGCAAGGAAAAATAGCATTGGTGAATATATGAAATGCATGCATGCAATGCAATGCATGATTGTGAGAACACGATATGGCTTAAGTGTGATTATCAAATCGCAAAGGCTGGGATTTAAATATATAAATATATAATCTGCACTGTGTTCATTTACACATGATTGGTGTGATCCAGTGTCTCAGAGCAGCTCTGTAGGTAGAAAGTGCTGCAAATTTAGCCATGTATTTCAAAACGCAACATGCACCATCAGCCTTCACAAATTTGTAATTTCTTGTATTTTTTAGAATTTGATTTAAAAAAAAGTTTTACTTAATTTTATTGTAGTTTATTTCATTTGATTTTTTCAAATCAATTTAATAATCAATTTTTATTCATTGCCATTTCTATTATCGTTGTTATTATTGTACAGCCATATTAAAATGGGTTCTATAAAACAACAGTGTGAATATAGCCTGAGACAACTAAAGTGGAGAGAGATTTTATTAACTATATTATGACAAAAAAAAAAAACAACTAAATATCACAAAATAATCACAATATGGTTTTAAGGTTAAATCATTAACCTAAATTGTGATTGCAATTTCTATTAGAGAGGACAAAACCCAGAATTAGATTTATTTGTTTCATTTGTTAAATACAGTTTCCTGGCTGGTAAAAATTCTTAATATAAATAATAGTCACCAGCCACTGGCAGGTATATTAAAAAGTTCGATTTAGACCCTAGTAAGAGGTGTTCACTAAAGAAAACAACACTCACCTCCTTCACTCTCAGTCTCATCTGAAACAGAGATACACAATCAATCACATTAAACAATATCTGCTGTGCTGCTAGAAACATCTAAACAGATCAGCTGGACATGCAACAAAGCATTAATGTACTGCACATCAATAATTAATAGGGTCTGTTAAGAAAGACATGTTCAGTACCTTGACCTCCTGTTTTGGGCCACCGCCGCTGTCCTTTAGCCGATGAGGGCCTTGGGATCCGGGAAGGACTCTCAGCCTGAAAGGAATGAGGAAAGACGTTAGTTTCCATGCATTTTCACTAGAGTTCCTCTCCTGTGGAGCACTTAAACAGACATTAGCCAAGAAACACGTGAGTCCGCTTTCATTACAAACCCTACAATCTTCTTGGCTGTTGTTGCACACGTGAAATATCACAGACAAATAGTCGGACAATGAGAAAATGTAGGAGGAAACCGATTTCACTTGGGACAAACAGAAATTACCTGGATTTCAGAGAGATCTGTAGGCTGAATGAAGACAAAACAAAACCCAACAAAGAGTCTTAAGACTTTAACATTTATGTTTATAGTACACTTATAGCCACTAGCCAAATAAAAAAGCTCACTGCTCCAAATGAGAAACTACTGAAGCTGCAAAGACACATGGAGCGACAAAACTATATAATAGCGATGGAGCGACAAAACTAAATAATACATGAAGATACAAAATCAGTCAGTCAGAGGGTATGTAAGGGCACTTGCTAAAGCAAAACACATAGGTTTAGGGACTTGAACAGACCCTTAAAACAGACACTACCAAAAAAAAAAAAAAAAAAGGGAAAACTGGGAGAAACTCGGCCAAAGATGTTCATCTGACTTCGAAAAAAATTGCAGGATTATTGAACTTTAAAAAAAAACCTTGTTTTTAAAAGAAGTGTCAATTTTCATTTAAAATATACTTGCTTCTCATATACACTACCATTCAAAAGTTTGGAGTCAGTAAAAAACTATATTTTTATTCAACAAGGATGTATTACACTGTTCAAAAGTGACAGTAAAGACAGTAAAGACTAACACTCTTACAAAAAAAATACTAAACTTTCTAGTCAACAAAGAATACTTAAAAACGGCATCAAGGTCCACAAAAATATTAAGCAGCACAACTGTTTACAACATTGATAATAATAAGAAATATTTCATAAGCACCAAATCAGCATATTAAAATGATTTCTGAAGGATCATGTAACACTGAAGAATGGAGTACTGACCCCAAACTTTGGAACAGAAGTGTACAGTATATTGACACTTTTAAGACTTTTTAAAATGAAAGAATATTTAATTTTGCCTCAGGATCAGAGAAAATGTTACCACGGCAGGTAAAATTCGTAACTAATGTCTCAACCTGGGCGTCAGAAAGAAATCCTAATTGTTGAGGCCTGATAAGTCAACCTCCACCATCAAGACTGTCCTTGCGCAATGCTAAATATGCAAACACCCATTATTCTACAGCGAAGCAAAGCAGGCACTGACATCACAACAGACTCGTACCTCCAGTTCACCGCCCTCAGCCTCCAATTCAGAGGAACAAAGACAAGAACAATAAGCTATGAGGAACATTACGTCAACACTCAACACGCCTTGATGATGGCACATACCTACAGAACAAACGTAAAGTGAATAAACAGAGGTTGTGAAATAAATCAATCTTACCTCATCTGCTTCAGCTTCATGTGTTTTACTCACAACCTCTGGGTGAGGCTTTGGCTTGCTGATCTCCTCTGCTGCCTTGATCTATAGAAGAAGACAAGCTGTTATTGAGTATTGAAAGCTGAGAAAGACTTTTAAAAGACTTTTATTTTAAATGTTACAGAAATTTGCTTTAAGGTTTCGAAATAGTGCAGAATGTTAAATATTTCTTCATTTTTGTTTGTATTAAAATTCTAAAACTTTATTTCTAGGTTTAAATGGGATTTTAAATGCAAGAGAGTTGGAAAAAAGGCTGGTAAAACTGGTCATTCATCTGTCATTGTGACGATAAAATCGTGTGAGCAAACCTTTCTATCGCCTCTGTCCTTTAGCTTCTCGTCTGTCTCTCTGTGTCGTTCTTTATCTTTTTCTCTCTCCCGTCGTTTCGCACGCTCGCGATCTCTCTCCTTGTCTCGTTCTCTGTCTTTGTGAGATTCCCGTTCCCTTTTCTTATCCCTCTCTTTATCTCGTTCTCTCTCCTTGTCCCTGTTACGGTCCTTCTCCTTCTCACGCTCCTTCTCTCTGGTCTTGTCTTTCTCCCGATCCCGGCTTTTGTCTTTGTCTTTGTCTCTGTCTTTTGTCCGGTCTCTTTCGCGTCCCTTGTCAGATCTCTCGGCATCTCGCCGGCGGTCCTTGTCATCCCTCTTGCTCTCTTGATCTTTCGGTTGATCTGGATCTTTCTGCTCTCGGCTCCCGCTGCTCTCCTTGATGCCTTTCCTCTCCTGGACAACAGCCAGAGACTACATCAAATTTTCACTTTCATAACAATAAACCTAACAGCTCCATCAGCCCCCAAAAGTATTAAAAACAGATTTCATGAGTGAAAGAAAAAGGCACAATAAAAAAAGCCCAAGAGGGACAAATTGAGGAATGAATAATGATTTAAGACAACAGAAAAATCTGGCTTGGCTGAAAATATCACTGGGTCAAAGGCTAAAACAGGTCTCACCTCTCGGTCTTGGTGGCGCTCCCTGCCCTCTCTGTTCTCCTTGTCCTGGGACCTGGAGGTGCTGGGCTTCCCTTTCTGATCCAGCTTGTCTCCTGCTAACACCCGCCTAACAGCCTCATCACTGGAGAGCTGGAACAAGGACAGGACACGCTGTTTAACAGCTTAATATAATGAACACAAGTCCCAAGCAACCCTCAGTATGCTCCCAGACTAGGGCTGTGCGATATTGAAGAAAAATGCGATATGCAATAACTCATTAAATAATGCGATATTCGATATGCGATATGATAATGCTTAAAGTGCCACATGCTCAGATGAAACAGTTTTACTCAGCTGTTGCTGAGTCAGTTCTGTGAACTTCTATAACTATCTTGTGTCATATATATATGGTTATTTGTATGTATCACTGTAAAAAGTAATCACTGAATCTACTTAAGAAAAGCGAGTAAACATAACAGATTTTTACAAATTTGTTGAGTTTACTTAATTACACTGTGTTATGTGAACTTGATATGTACATTTGCGATATTTCGATATATTGCACAGCCCTATCCCAGACCAAACAAAACTGGATTCAGAAACAGATGGGGTAGCATGGTGGTTAATGATATGGGCTGGTGACCAAAAAAAAATGTAGGTTGATAATGCAATCCATGAACAATCCATGGGGATTCTCCCTGGAATAAATGGACTATGAGTCACTCTGGATAAAAGCATTAGCTAAATATGTATGCACAGAATATGACTTTCTGTAAAGCTGCTTTGAAATGATGTGTATTGTGAAAAGCACTATACAAATAAATTTGACTTGACTAGTTGACTATTTACTAACAAAATTTTTACATTTTCTGAAGAAAACGTGTGGTGGGGCTTGATGCAAAACTCACTGTTACCAATAGAGTATTGTGGGTGATCTATATGTTGTAAAGAGTTATTTTAGCATTATTTAGTTATTTTATTATTTCACTATTATATTATTAATATTTTAATCAGCTTTTATTTGTACATTTTTAGTTTTCATTTTCATTTTAGCAGCTCGTTGGTCTTCTCTGGTTCGTGTCCGGCTACGATTCGAGCAGGTTTAGCGGCCAAGGGCTCTCCGCTAACCAGCATCACCACATCGATGGCCTTCTGAAGGAATGCTATTTTTGAGTCTTTGTCCTGAATGTTACATGACGAGAAAAGAGTATTTGAAACAGAATTGCAAGCATAATGTCTGTTTTCAAACAAGGTTCAAACACCAGTCTGTTATTGTTCATACAAACAGGGAGTCCAGCACGAAACACACACCACTGGATAAGCCAAGGTTGTTACTGCTAGCTCAGTTGGGCCACTTCAACAAACAGATTGGAATTCTGCTTGGAGCCACTAGGGATGCAGAAAACAACCATTGGGCAAATGTTAAGGCAGGGATTTCCAACCTTCAGCCCAGAATTCGAGCAGTAGTGTATATCTTTCTCCTGGGTTTGAAAAGAGTGCACAAAACCACTTGAGACTCCAATAATCAATGCTGAAAGTGATGCTGCTTTGTGAAAGCTTAGACAAACACAACAGAACAAGTACACACTTTATAGTAACACAATTGAACAATCAAGATGATATGTAACTTTATCTTATGTGAATCATTTGTGGTGTCAGTCTCACTCTCTTCTTAAAACATGTGAGGCACTTGGGTGTGTTTAGAACTTTCTGACGGAATATCAATATCAGATTTCCTGATTAAATGTTGCATAAATATGTTACGTCAAGAAAACGTCTCGGTTACGTATGGTAACCCTCGTTCCCTGAAGGAGGGAACGGAGACGTCACGTCGGGTGACCGACGAAATTGGGATCTCGCTTAGAGGGACCAATCTACTTCGAGTGTAAACTAAACGAGCCAATGCACATTGGCATGCGATTATTGCATCCAGCTGCTGCTGATCACAGCGTGAGTATAAGTAGGCAGCAGATGCAGCGCATATTCAGGTTTTCGCTGAGGAGCCGAGCCGGTGACCCGGCCGCTCAGCGGTGGTACAGGAGCTGTGGCGACGGGACGTGACGTCTCCGTTCCCTCCTTCAGGGAACGAGGGTTACCATACGTAACCAAGACGTTCATACAGCTCAAATGCTGCTGTTAATAAAACAAAAATGTAAAAAAAACATTAGTGCTGTCACAATGATTAATCGCGATAAATCGCATCCAAAATTTTGTTTACATACTATATGTATGTGTACTGTGCATATTTATTATGTATATATAAATGCACACACATACATTGAGAATATGAAAAAAATGAAAATATTTCCATGTATATATTTATATTCATATAACTATTTATATTGAATTAAAACTGAAAGAACAGTAAAAGTTTTATCTTTTTGTCACCACCAAATGCTTTTTATTTTGATATAGCTTAGTTATTTTAGGTTTAGGCTTAATTGCACTATACACAAAGAACCTAAAGTTATCCTGATGCTTTGAACACAACAGTACATACATTATCACTTGCAGCTTAATGCGCCCACTCCTTTAAACCCTCTTTTTCTGTATTTCTGCTTTGCTGGTTATGATGAAGTGCAACTGTCCATATTGTCATGTAATGCTTTCATACTTCATGAGGTTCCTAATGAGGTCCCAGCGGCAGAACAACCTGTATACTGCTGTGATCTGTTATGATTTTACACACTCAGCAGTGTTTAATATTCAACTACTGGCAATACATACATACAATATCCATGCAATAAGAATGTTTTATGAAGCTAATCACTAAAGGCGAATTTCATGAAAACATGTTCATGTCATATACATTGCAACACAAAATAAAGAAATATATTTTGCATAAAATGAAGTCCGTTTTTAGGACCATTAGAATTTTATGCAATATTACATTATGACAATTAAGCATGTTTTACAGTAAAACCTGTAATATTGTGAAATATTATTACAATTTAATATACATTTTAAAATGTAATTTATTCCTGTGACAGCAAAATGACATTTTCAGCATCATTACTCCAGTTTTCAGTGTCACATGATCCTTCAGAAATCATTCTAACATGCAAATTTCATGAAAACACATTCATGTCATATACATTTCAACACACAAAAAAAAGAAATATATTTTGCATAAAATTAAGCACATTTTAGATCATTAAGATTTTATGCCTTATGACATTAAAGCAAGTTTTCCCTCCATACTTTCTTTAGCATAATGGGTCCAGACTCTGAATATTTTGAGTATTTAATTCCAATTATTCTCAATGGTGAAATTCATTAATGCAATACAATATAATTCACAATTATTTTTTTATTTTAAATCAGCATAAATCAGAATCAGAAAGGCAATACAAAAGTGCAAAAATAATATAATATAATATAATATAATATAATATAATATTAGGGCTGCACGATAAATCGCATGCGATATTTAACGCGCATCTTGTCAGAAAAGCCGGTTCTGTAATCAGCGGTAAATCT